AAAAATAAAGACATATCTTCAGGTGAGGATAAAAATACATTTTTTAATGAAGTTTACAAATACCCAGTAAGTAGGTTGAATGCCTAAGAAAACATTTAAAGCAATGATATGTCAAGCATTCAATTATCTTTGTGCTCTCTGTAGGTAGTAAGCTCTGGGATATAGAAATAGAACTATTCTCCCTTAAAGATCTCAGGCTATATGAAAATAGTTAGTAAATATAAGGTGCTAATGGAAACAATTTATGATATCTATACATCAGATTGATGTGGGGAGGAAGTAGTTAGATTGACTTACACTTTCATTTACTCTCTGCATAGGTAATATATTTAGACAATTTAAAATTCAAAATGTGCGAGAGTATAAAAAGCCTCTCTGACATCTCTTTCCTCCCGCCACCCAGTAGCTGTACTCAGAAGCAACCCCTTATTACTTGAGCATTCTCTGAGGCGAATTCTTGACTCTTGAAAGGGTCATTCGTGCCCTGGCTGATTTGACTCTGTTTAGAATCAGGTTTGAGTCCCGGTTGCAGGTTCCATCCCTAACCCCCGGGGAGGGGGGGCAACCAATCAATATGTCTCTCTGACATCCTTTTCACATCCATGTTTCTCTCCCTCTCTTTCCCCTTCCCACTCTCTCTAAAAGTCAATGGAAAAAATATCCTTGGGCGAGGATTTTTAAAAATGGATCATTCGTATTAGTCCACTGATAAAAGAAGGGGATGATTTTCCAAGTACAGGGAGAATGCAGTTTGTATAACTGTGTCAGATTTGGGAAATGATGTGATTAATTTGACAGGAACCAAAGTGATGGGCTTAAATGTCATCATAAGAAATTGAGATTTTTATCATTAGTGCATGGCTGCTATTAAAGGTATTTCTTGAAGCTTTTATTGTTAAAGTAGTATGTATCTTGGAACCATTACAGTAAACTTTTCAGTGAGTATCCTATTTTTAATTAAAATCTTGTGGTAAGATTTTGTATGAGGAAATCCTGGGAGAGCGCTGAGTCCCAGGAGTCAGGTTCTCATCCAACGGGAAGTGCTGAACAGCCTGCTTGATCTGGCTCTCGCTTAAGTATTCTGTTGCCCCAATATTACCTTAATAATGATGAAATATTTTCGTATATGTTAAGATAGTCTACCAAAAATCAGTTTTTCATACAGCACAACTGTTTTGAAAACTGTAACCCTATTAAACACAAACCAAGCTTGTGTTAGGCCTTATGTATACATAATCTGATTTGATCTTTTTTAAATATGTTTTTATTATTTTAGAGAGAGAAACATCGATGTGAGAGAGAAACATTGACCCGCTGCCTCCTGCACACCCCCTACTGGGGATTGGGCATGTGCCCTGACCAGGAATGGAACCAGGACCTCTCAGTCCATGGGCCAACGCTCAATCCACTGAGCCACACCAGCTGGGCTGATTTAATCTTTTAAGTAACTCTAAGGAAGTGTTTCTGTCCCCTCTTTATCAATTAAAGCAACTAAGGCTCTGAGTAGCAAATCATAAATTCAGACTGGGGCTTTCTGACTCCAAAGCCAGTGTTCTTGGATATTCACAGAATTTTGTTTTATTATTTTGCTGATTATAAGATAGGAGGAAGAAAAACCTGTATCCATTGATCTGTTGTATTGTAACCCTTTACCTAAAAGATATATTTAATCATTTAAAATCTCCAGATAATAATGTTGGAGGTGGCCCTTGTTGTTTCTCTGTTTATTGTATTTCCCTGGTTTCTATTTAGAGATCTCCCTAAGGTTGAGTTTTGACATAAGAGAAGAAGAAATTCATGTATGTACCTCGTCCTTTAAACTTCAACGATTTTTGTAGCTTAGTTTGAGGTATAGTATATAAGTATGTTTTTTTCTCTTTGTTTTAGTTACCCTACACAGATCGTATCTTAGTAAAGCAAGTAGACATGTGTCACATTTGAGTCAACTTTCTGATATATTATTTTCGTGTATTTGGAAATTAACATGACAGACTAATATATAAAAGTCAGGGAGAAAAGAATATACTTTGTTCACTGGTTTTGAAAAATGATCAGACCTCAGTATTTACAAATGGCTCTTAGGAAGTTCTTGATCAGTTAGGTTTCACAGACTTGACTCATTTAATCTATGCCTATTAATGTTTTGAGACTAATTCTTGTTACAGTTTGCTACAGATTCCTCAGTTTTATGAGTAACATCCCAGCTGAGGTATTCCAGAAAACAAAAATTTTGTATTTTATACCACTGTCTTTAACCTTGGGATCTACACTCTTTAAATTTTTCTGTAGTACATAGATTGTGTAACTCCATATAGTTTCTTTATTTTGAATATATGTAGAAAGTGATTGTTAACTGCAAACTTTAGCAACGTAAGTGTATTTGTTCTGACATTTAGGCTCATTTATAGTATTTTATTTCACAGGTTCTTTTCTCACCCCAAGATACACAACTAACTGCAAATAAGTTCTTTTTTCACTTCTACATTTGACTTATGAGAACATTTCATTATTAGTCTGTGCTATAAAAAATACTGGAATTTCACTAACTTAAATCATATGACTTTATTTAAAATTAGTTTATTTGGCATATGAATTTGATCCCAATTAAATATATGTATATGTTTTTACAAAGTTGGGATCTGAAGTTCTTTTAAAGAATGCCATTTTCGCCCTGGCCGGTTTGGCTCAGCGGTTGGAGCGTCATCCTGCGGTCCAGAGAGACCCTGGTTCGGTTCCCGCTAAGGGCACATACCTCGGTTGCAGTTTGTCCCCGGCCCTGGTTGGTCGTGCGGGTGGCAACCACTCCATGTGTCCTTTCATGTCGATGTTTCTCTCTCTCTCTCTCTCTCTCTCTCTCTCTTCCTCTCTCTCCCTCCCACTCTGTCTGAACAAAATATGGAAAAATGTCCTCGGGTGAGAATAAAAAAAAGAATGCCATTTTCATAAATATATTACAGATATGCTAATGAATTTTAAATTTCAGACTTGCAGAAGAAATTCCAATTTTACTCTTTGTTACTCTCTTATGTTTACTACCTTTCATTTTAAGTCATTCTGTTTATCTTAAACCCAAGGTCTCCAAACAGACCTGTGTGAATAGCATACTTGTTCCCATATGGTCCTGGGTAAGCCTTGTAAAAAAGCCAAATTGAGTTTTCAATTGATTCAGTTGGCTTTCATTTAATTTGGCAGACTGATTCTAAGTACAGTGAAAAAGAGAGGCCTGGCAAATATATCTTTAGAGGATACAAGCTGCTAAGTAAACAGTAGTTAGCAGCCTCTTAATCCTTGCTTGCTATTAGGAGGTCTAATGATGCCATAGATTGCCTTAGATCCTAGTCAAGAGAAAAGTAAAGAAAGGGTTAAAAGAATAGAAAGAAGTTTAGGACAAGCAAAGAGAAGTACACATACTGAAGACCCCTAATTAATCAGAGTTGCTTCGGTGACACTCTGGCATGTAGAGTCTGTCTACCTTTCCTAGTTTTGGATCATCTAAGGTACCCTACTAGTTAAAATTAAAAATGTCTTTTAAAACTTCAGTAGATAAAACAATGAGTCTTAATCTGATTTTTGAAGTCATAGAATTCTATTTGTTTTGTTTGATGATCACTAATACTTGGTTGCTATTCTAGTAGAACTTGAATATAGTTTTCTTATTGTACCATTAATACCACAGAGACTCTCTTAAAGTACCTATTAGGTCTCAGAATTGTTATATTGTATCTGAACCTCATTTTGATGATGAAATAATAGCTGTCATTTATTGAGCATCGACTATGCACCAGGAGCTTTACATATAGTCCTGGTTCTTAAACCACTCTGCATTATTTAACTGATAAAATGATAGACCTAGAGAGGTTGTTTAGCATAGAGGTTAAAAGCTTGAACTCTGGGACCAGATTGCTACCTACTATAACATGAGGCAAGTTAGTCCTATCTGACCCAGTTTCTTGTCTGTGAGATGGGTATAGTAATAGCACCTACTATTAGGGCTGTTGCAGAATTGAGTTAATAAATGTCAAACATTTAGAGTAGTGTCCAGTATATATATAATTACTCATATTCTTAGCTTGCTGCTGTTATTCAGCATGGATCAAGAATTTTAGAATTGATATTTCAAGTTTTTTGTTAGTTTCCTAATGTACAGGTTGGGGTGGGAGAGACTTTAGAAATATGCCGAGCAGGAGGGGAAACTATTAGAGATCAGGTTTGTCAAAAGTTTAGTCCCCTGAGAAGCCACTCCTGAGATGTGAGGTGAATCATGCTTGCTGGGAGCTTGCCCAAATGAGCCCATCAGTTAAGATTCTGTGGTTATAGCCCTAGGGAAAGTGTCCCCAGGGAATAGTAGAAATGGAAGGTAATTAAGGTACATACGCTGTTACCCCTTAAAGGGGAACACTACTAATGCTAGAAATTAGAAAGCTGCCATACAATTATTTTTTGCTCTAACTCAAAGAAACCACACATAAATAAATGGATTCTGAATGTGGAAATTTTGTCAAGTCCAACCTAGAAGAGGACTCATTGTTCATCGTCAAACCCTATCAAATAGATCCTATGAAGAATGTTTGCGTTATGAAGGTACAACTTATTCTACATGTACCTCAGAACAGGTTTATTAAACTGCTAAACATAGGAATTTATGAAGGCATCTGATAAAGAGTAGTGTTCATTAGTCAGTGAACTGGTCATATTCATATGTAGATAAACGTGTATCCACAAGCAATTGAATACTACTTAATATTTGATTCGATTTCTATTACCCCTTTCTTTTAGAACTGTGATCCTGAATTGTGAGGGCCTGCTGGATTTTGTCCAGCTTTAATTTCTTTCAGAATGCTTTTCAGCAACCTTATTGTGGCGCCTCCTCTGTCGCTCCCTCTCTCTCTTCTGGCTGTTACACTGTATTAAAAATCTGTAATCTTCCATCCTTTTTTGAACAGTAGTGATTTTACTGTATTTTCTCAACTTCGTTTCCATTTGACTCTTGGATCTCACAGGAATCCTTCAACTGCTTTCTACCAAGCGTTCCATGTGAACACGTTTCAGGAATCAAAGAGCCTCTGGGATAGGTATGAATACTTGTATATGGAATGCATACATGCATAGGTGTATGCATGAATTGCTTTGCACTGTACTGGTTTCTCATCACTAAAACTGATCTTTGTTATTTTAGGGGGGAATCACGTATCTAGCATGGGACAAAGCAGCAAAATAAACCAAAAGGACAGTCTATATTTTAAATAGAATATAACTATTTCTTCTTACTGAACTTTTAATTAGATTTATTTTTGGAAGGATTTACATATTCTATTGGATTTTATTATATGAAGTATTTCCTTACCCTTGTATATTTTAATGTAAAAATATATTCTATGAAATAAACTACCTGCAGTTATTTTAATTTTGTACTATTTTTATTTCTCTGTAAAAGCCTTAGTGACTCAAAGCAAAATGTTTTATGTTAAGAAATTGGAGGAGACGCCCTGGCCTGTTTGGCTCAGCAGTTAGAGCGTCGGCACACGGTCCAGAGAGACCTGGGTTCAGTTCCCGCTAAGGGCACGTACCTCGGTTGCAGTTTGTCCCCGGCCCTGGTTGGGTTGTGCGGGTGGCAGCCACTCAGTGTGTCCCTTTCATGTCGATGTTTCTCCTCCCCCCCCCCAACTCTATCTGAACAAAAAAAATGTGAAAATGTCCTCGAGTGAGGATTAAACAAAAAAAGAAAGAAAGAAATTGGAGGAGAGACAAGACCAAGGAATCAAACATAGTAGTCGTTGTTTAACTTTTGGCAAGAAACTTTACAATCAGGCGTGTTTGCTAGAATTCACTAGATCTGCATTACTTTTTGTAAACCCCTAAAACAGTTTGTTTTCTCACAGAAATGTGTAATTTTAATTTTTAACTTAAAAATATTGAATGAAGTCTTGAGTTCATTTATGGTAAAAGATACTTTGGTTTATCTTTCTGCTTAATACACATTTTAAGTAGTATATGCTCTGTTGAGTTATTTTGCTGAATATGTATTAGCACTCCATCAGTTTTTGTCTAATTAATAGAAGTTGAGCGCAAACGATATTTTTTAAATTCTCACAAAGCTTTGTAAAATTCTTTTAACTCTGCCTGGCAACGCACTTGTGTCCTCTGGCATAGTTTGGGTTACACTCATGGGCTCAACTCCATCTCTTTCATTGAAAAGAGTATTGCTAAGTGCATGTCATGCTCACCGTGTCATGTTAAGACATGGTTCACGTTGCCTAGAAATGGTAACAGTCTTTTAATTCTTTGGCTTGATTTGCTGTGTGTGTCACTCGAAAGAAATTTTCTAACTATCATTTTTGTGATGTGTTCCTTACTAAAAATGTTTTTTAATACTTGTAGTACAGAAAGTTTTAAAATTTATAGTACCATATTTATAAATTCAGTTTTTAAATTGTTAAGCTAAAATAAATAAAATTCTTCTGCTACAGCAATAAATTAAGACATAAATGTAAATTGTGGCATGAAACAAGCATGGAGGTTTAATCATTCGAATGACTTAGCAGATAGAGCCAGGGTGAGTACTTTGGGATATATTTTATACTTTTCCCTTAGAAAAACGAAAAATAGCACTCTATATAGGAATGGAAGAATAGTTTTTAAATGTATGGTAGTTTATTTCAAATAGCTAATTTTTGTGAGCTGCCATGACATCAATATGAAAAATATCTATTGTTTTCATCAAATCAACATAGAAAGGTTTGAGGGGTTTTTTTATAATTTGGATTTAATACTAAAAGATTTTTTTGTTTCATTATAAAACAACTATAGAAGTTGCCTGCTCCTCATTTGTTTTTACAGCGATATGCTCCTTATCTGTTTTCTTTTTTAGAGACCAGAAACATTTAAGGTATCAGAAATGAGGCAAGTTGCTGTAGCTATAGTTTCTCATGAGTTGAAAATATATTCTCTTCTCTTTGGAGCCAATTGTCCAAGTAAACGGATACATGTCTATAGTATGTTAAAGCCAGAATATAATCAGCCATTCTTCACTGTAAATTGGCCTGTTATTACCGAGGTGACAAGCCCCACCTGGTAGAAACTGATTAGTGGCTTCCTTTTAACTTTTTAACCAGCTTATTAAATTTTCAATTGAGAAGAGTAGTAGTGGCTAGCTTTATTAGTTACAACACATCTACAACTTCACTTGGCAGACATCTACAGACTTTTTAATTAGCTAAAAAGTATTGTGGGACTATTTATTCTTTCTCATTGCAGGAAGGGGTTGAAGGTTTGTGTGTGTTAAGCTTTAAAAAATATTATAACTTCTTCTGACCTCGTTTTGTGTTAGATCTCACCAAATTGCCTTGTTTATTTTTTACTATTATAAATTTCGAATTCTAAAAAATTTTACAACTAATTTGGCAAGTAAGTATTTTGCTGGGATGATTCTATTAAATAGGACCATTCAAGAGTTTAAGGAACTGCGAATCCTTTACATCATCTACTTGTTTTGAGGTATGAATTTGCCTATTAAGGTTCCTATTTATGAAATCTTGGAAATCATTTTCAGTAGGAGCAGCTTCTAAGCTCTATGCCAGTTTTCATTAAGCCCGCCCTAGAAACCTGAAGACCCTGATTTTGCCTTACTTGAAAGACTGAAATCTTGTTCTAGGATTCTTTTCACAGAGTATCTTTTAATCAAAATGTAAGTAACTAATATACCTTTCTCACATTGACTTAGAATTCTCTCATGACCCCTCTGTTTTCTTCCCTATTTAAATTAGAACTACCAAGTTGAGAAGCTTTTCAGCAATCAGTCCACTTCTGCCTGTATTTAGATACTCTTTTTCCTTTCCCTTTCCTGTAGGTACTATCACTGTTTTCTGGCTTTCCCATTTGTCATTTGCAAAGTCCTCAGAGAATCATTCAACTGAAGCCACTAAATATAAGGACAATAGATACTGATATCGGCCTGTGGTCCAGAGAGACCCAGGTTCAGTTCCCGCTAAGGGCACAGACCTCAGTTGTGGTTTGTCCCCGGCCCTGTTTGGGTCGTGCGGGTGGCAGCCACTCGATATGTCCCTTTCACGTCGCTGTTTCTCTCCCTTCCCCCCTCCCACTCTATCTGAACAAAAAATGGAAAAATGTCCTCGGGTGAGGATAAAAAACAAAACAAAACAAAAATACCAGGTCAGTTAGGTAAAGGAGTACTAGAAGGAAGAAACTTTAGGTCAGGTAGACTAAAATCAGGTCGTTTGTAAGGATTTAACCTACTTGATAAACAACTTACAGTATTTCTGCCTTAATGAAGAAAATGTATAAATGTAGTTAAGAAGAGAGTTATAGTTGGTAGTTGCACCATCCCCTTGACTTAGCTTGTCCTTCCTTATGATAGCACCAATGTTTTAATATAAGTAAAGTAGTACACATGGGTTATTAACTAAAAGGTAATGTCTAAGTAAGTTTATGGTATGTCTTTTACTAGATACTTGATGATTTTGCTTAAATTGTATACAGTAATTACTCATAACTAGTTTTAAAATTATTAGATTAAAAAATATTCTTGTTTAAATAACCTAAAGTATTTTGTGTTAGAAAAGGCTTCTAGTATTTTCTATCACTTTTCCCTAAGAGGTTTTATTTTGGAAATTAGGAGTAAATCAGAATTAAGCTGCTTGTATGAGAGTGTTTTGTTTTACTCGTCCTCTACGAAGCTTCATCACTAACACCCACCAGTACTTGTTAACCCAGATGGTAAAACTCAGGTATCAGACCTTGGCTAGTCTATTTTTCAAATGCTCATTATAAGTCTTATTTAAAATATTTTTATGGAAGTATAATTTGAATCAGAAAAGTATAACTTGTATTCACTTATAAATGAGCATACCTGTGTGACCAGTACCCAGATCAAGATACAGAATAGTATACATTTCATGACCCCTTCCTATCACTTCTCTTCCTCAAACTGACTTCTAATAAATGGAATCTTTCATTATATATTTTGTTTCTGCCCTTTTTGATCCAGTATTATGTTTGCATTCATGCATATGATTCAGCATAATTGTAGATCTGAACTACATGATCTTAAAGAATCACCAATAGTTGCCCTGGCTGGTTTGGCTCAGTGGTTAGAGTGTCAGCCTGTGGACCAGAGAGTCCTGCATTCGGTTCCCGCGAGGGGCAGGTACCTCAGTTGCAGTTTGTCCCTGGCCTCAGTTGAGGTTACGCGGGTGGCGGTCACTCGATGTGTCTCTCTCACATCGATGTTTCTCTCTCTCTCTGCCCCCCTCTTTCCTTCCCACTCTGTCTGAAGATGGATGCAAAATTGTCCTCGGGTGAGGATAAAAAAAAAATTTTTTTTTTAAATCACCAATAGTGGGTCACTTGTTTGAGATTGGTACTGGTTTAATGCCCTCTCCTAGTGATATATTATTAAGTACCTTGAGGATAGGAATCTGGACTGTTTTATAACCACCCCAAATATATACCCTAATAATTTGTATCTAGTACTTACATGATTTATTATTTGATTACACTTTTATCTATTGCAGTAAAGAATATCAGGTAGAGGATAAAGACACTAAACATTAGAGGACAAATTTTTAAGGACCTGTCACCTTTTAGTGCTGGCTCTCAGATTTAGATGAAAAGCTAAAATGTTCAGATGACATTAAAGCAGGAAGTCATAGCTATTACTAGATGACAGCATTTATAAATGTAATCATCTGAAGCATGAATAGAAATTGAGAGAACTTGTGTGTAAATTCAGGAAGGTTGAATAGGTAGAGTAGGAAATACCTTGGTGTGTTAGTTGAGTGCATTTATAGACCTGGCTGGCAAATGGCAGGCCTGCCCCAAAAGTTAATGACATTTTAGACAGTGTTTCTATAACTACAGTAAACAGGAAAAGATGGTGATGGACCTGTTGTGCTCCATTTCTATAGGATAGTTATGCCAAGTACAAAGCTAACTAGATACAATCTGCTTTCTTTATACCCTATTTGAACAACCAAGTGGGTGTTTTAACAGGCAGGCTAGAGCTTACTTTCTAAAAGTGGATGGGCCCCCTGGAAAATAGTTGCCATCCCTAGAA